TCTCTGCTCCCTTTTCCCTGCTTCCATTTTGCCTGGCCCACCTGGCCAGATGGTACCACCATTGCTTTTGTTATGCTTTCCCTTTCCCATTAACAAACTCTATTGCCTCCCATGTCTTGCTTGGATGCCTCCATGCTGGACATAAAGAATTTACCACAATCAGACCTGATGCTGGTCTACCCACTCATTCCTTCTTCTCCCATGGATATTATTCAGAGGACAGGTATTGAAAAGTGACAACTACCTGAAAAACCATATAATCCATAATTTTGTCCCTGCCACCCTTTTCTGGGCCTTCTTTACCAGAATCCTATAGAGATTGTGTTTTCACCATTTCCAACATGAATTCCCTTTTGAAGGGAGAGACAGAATTAAATTCCTTGAATGCCCACTGTGCCTGACACATTAGTTATATAATTTAACTTAAGAGCCATAGCAATGCTGCAGATGAAGAATGAGATCACAGAAGATAGGTGACTTAACAGTGAGGGTCACACAGCCAAGGACATGTGTGTCTTCTATAATAAATTCCTCATTCAAACCCTTGTCCAGTTACCACAGGAAAACCACTTTCTGTGCTTATTTCTTTCAGTCCCTTTGTTAATAATATATAAAACACCATAAGGATAGTGCTAGTGATATTCTTCAAACCAAAAAAAAGGTACACACTGTAAAGGAAAAGGACACCTGAGAATTGCCATACATCTTTCTGATCTTGAAAGTTAGTTTAGAGCCTTTCTGAACCACATTACATCTCTTCTTTCAAATAAATGTTTGTCTTCAAGCATCAACATTCAAGATGAGTGAAGCACTTTATAATTTAATGCTGCTCTGATCAGTAACATTGCAACAGTGATCCCTCCCCCAACATTTTAGTCTTCCCTATAGTCTTAAGTCTTTATAGAAAAGACTAGCAAGCCAAAACATTATTTACAACTTTGTTGTAAATAATAAAATTATTTGAGAGTTCCAAAAAGCCAATTCATAAATATTTGTAAAACAGTATTTTTAAATTGGGGACTGCTGATATTTATGAAATGAGTGTTCAAAACAAAAACAGATCTTTCAACAGGACCCTGGTAGGGACAAAGGGGCATGCACATCCAGTCTTGCACAGCCACTCTCTTATCCTCCCCAGAGGTGATTGGACCTCTAGGAAAATAATCTGCTATTCAAGCAGTTCCAAAGTAAATGGAGGAGAGGCGGAAACATGTGGCCACAGATATGACTGTAGACTCCAATGGGAACACTAATGTTTTAAACGCTCAGTAAATTCCCATTTAAAACTCTATGTAAAATTCAAAGTTGCACGTTGAAGTACTGAAATTTCAGGGTTAATGCTCACAAAAAGCATTTTCTGCAAGTTCCATTTGAATTTTTTTGATAAAACTGGCCATTTTAATTTTTTTTAAATAAAGACAAAAATCTGTTCTGACCTGGAATTTGAAGACAACTAGAAAATGTATAGGAAGCTTTTTAAATAAGAAGTCTAACTTGTTGGAAATTATCTGCAATCATTATATAGATTAAATTTGCTTTTGTTGGGATTGCTTTTATTTTTAATTCAGAGAACAAAAATTCTCAAAAAGATTCTTTCATAAACTTCTAACCAGCATTTCTTAGAAAGTGTCTACTAAGAAATGCTTTGTACTTTAATTTTTGACAGCTTATTTTGACAATTTTATAAAATTAATTTACCAGTGTTTATTAAAATATTGTCAATTTTCCCTCTGTAACCCTGCTCGTGACTACTATATTCATTTTAGGCATATAGAAGTTAAACCTACCCTCATGTTAATTACTTTTTTAAAAACAGTGAAATTTAAGCAGCCAAATAAATTGGGGATTTCTTTGTTCTTTTGAGGACTATCTCTGACTACATCCAGACTTTTTTAAAAGAATGACTTGGTTCTAAAGATTTATTTTTTATTTTTTTCTCCATTTTTTTAATTGTTGTGCTGGGTAGGGGTACACGGTGGCATTTACAAAACTCCTGGCAATGTATCAAATGGTTCTAAAGATTTTTTTATCTTGAAACACAAACATCTACAAATTGCCAAAGAAAGACATAGAGACATAGCACCACAAAAGGAAAAGGGAAGAGTTACATTTATAAGCAACTTGTAAAGGTGCAAGGAACTGTACCTCAGGGGAGAGAGAGAAAAAAAAAGAGAGAGGAAGAGAAGGAGGGAAGGAGGGAGAGATAGAGAGAGAGAGGGAGAGAGAGAGAGAGATGCCAAATTTACATTAGACGGTTCATAATGAGAAAATACTAATTTTATCACAATCATTGTCTCACAAACATAACATTTCTTCAGATAGATAAGTCTGGGAATCTGGACTTAGAAACCAGAAACAGTCACTTTTATTTTTTATTTATCTTAGGGTACAAACTATTCTTTCAACAGTAGGACATGAAGTGATTTGTGACATTGAAATCAAGACAAAGTGTCAGATTTTGCTTCAACAGCATGTACATTTTTACTTGTTGCCGGTCCTCTGCTCTTTTCTTGCTTACCATGTAATATATGGGGTTTTGCCTGGTTATTTTAAAGAGGTTTGCATAGTTAATTTGATTGCTATATCTCTTAAAATAACTTCTCTGTGATTTTTAAAAAACTTGCTTTAGCCCAAATATGGGCATTTCTATACAGGTCTCATCCCATCTAACATAGATGAGTACATGCCTACAATCACCACTCAAGCTAATTTCTTGTTCAATAAATTATTAAAATCATGCTTAACTCACAATAAACATTATAAATAAATATTGTCTGTCATAACAAAAACAGATAACAATCTTAAAATAAGCTTCATAAAGATTAATTGAAGAAAAAGTTCAAATAAAAATTTGAATTTAGATAATTCAAATTTAAAATTCTTAGAGAAAAATCATCCTTAAATCTATGTGGTAAATTTTGAATGTTTCCTAGCTTCAATGCCCAAACTGGTTTGGCATCAAAATTAAAGAGTTCAGAAATAGAATTAGGTTATAACTTCTCTTCACCATTTTAACATGTACTTACAAGTGAATTTTATTACTTTTCTGGAATACTTAGTAATATTAATTTAAAATTAAACTTTCTATTTCTGTGACTTTAAAAAATCCCATTCTTTAAAATATAAATTTAAAAAAATGAGCCGGCAATCCTTTTGGAATGATTTTCTTTCCAAAAAAAAAAATGATAATACAGCAATTGGCTTCTCAAATACTTGGTCCCAATTTCCTTCTGTTGTCTCTGTATCCATGAGATAATTAAATTTTAAGGGTGTTGCTGGAAACAAAGAGTATTATAGTATTTCACAGCCTATCCACAACCTACAAATGTAGTTTGCAACAAAATTTACCTTTCCATCATTAAAGAAATCATTATTGCTTTCTTTTCAGTCCTAAATTTATTACCCTGCTTGGATATACTGCACTCTTCTGGGCATAGAATTTCATAGCAGGCATCAAAATAACCAAGCAATAAAGTCAGCTTTATCAAACCATAATTTCATATTAACAAGAACTTCAAGTGAATGACTGGTCATTTTACACAAAACCAATACACAACAAATAATGACGGCTAGGATTAATAGTTAAATGAAAAGTGCAGTAGGATTTATGCTTTAGTTCTCTATTTTCTCATACAGCCTAACACCCGAAAACAGCTGTTTTGTGGGCACCTTCCTGGAAGGTGCCAGGTGTTTGCTTTGTTCTAACACGAGAAGCAGAAGCAAAACTAAAACCACATTTCCAGAGAAGGGTGAGACTAAAATAAGTCTGCAACGAAGTAGCTTCCAGTAATGCGAAGTCAGTCAACTTTTTCCTCTCTGATAACCTTTTCTTGTTGGAGCAACAGGGAAATTACAAACGCATTTTGGAAATAATGTCTTCCTACCCCCATCCTTGAGGAAGGGGGCTACCAATCAGTTCTTAAAGCCTTTCAATGTGGTACCAGCAGGGACCAGGACATTCATTCGATGTCATGAGAGGTGGAGCCAGTCTCCATGGCATTCCTTGAGATATCAAATACTGTAAGGCTGTCTTGAAAACAATCTCTATTGGACCAAGTCCTTACTTCGCTGGAAGTAGTCGGATCCAAGACTTAATTTCAACAGTGTTCAATTTATTGCTTGAAGCTCTGGCAGCATAAAACTGTCTTCTTTGAATGGAAAATTTGACCAACTGCGATGAGGTAAATGAATTTCGAAAGTGGTGGGTGGACCGGGAGGCAGCACAACTTTTTTGTTTTTTGGAGGGGGAGAGGGTGCATACGAAGAGTCCGGAGCAACCACAAAACCCTAAGTCCCAGAGGATGTAAAAGGGTGTTGGACCAGAGAGCCCCAAAGCTCCTGAGATCAGGGCTCCACTAGGGGAAGGAGTTTGGGTTTAATTGTTACTGGGCACCGAGGAATCCCTGTCTTGGGTAAAGGGGGTAAGTGGAGAAAAGACGCACTTCGGGACTGCCCGGTGCCCTGCGATCCCTTGCTTTTCCGGGGACCCCTCGAGGAGGGCTCCGGATCTCTGACCACAGGTCCAGGGGGACCGGCGTCTCCCAGGCGTCGACCCGACCACTAGGATCAACCACCCGTGGGACGTGGGGTAAACTCCCGGGCCCGGAACGCCACCTCTCTCGGCCATAGGCCTCCTGGCAGGACTGACAGCCATCCTCACGCGGTTCGCGCCCGCCCTACGCCAGGGGAGCTCGACCTCCCCGCCCCCGGCCAGGCCCCCGCGAGGCTGCGCTTCCCGTAAACTCCCCGCCCCGCGCGGCCCCCTCCCCGCCTCGGCTCCACCCCCGCGGGACCCTGGGCGGCGTGAGATTGGCCCGACCGCGCTGTCACTCTTCGGACGCGTCACCGCCCTCGTTTCCGACCGCCCAGAGACCGGCAGTGATATTCGTGCTCGCGGGGCCGCCGAGGAGGGCGTCGCACTGCCCTGCTTGCTCCTTCTCGCCCGCGGGTCGGCGCGCTCGCCCACTAGAGCCCGGCCGGAGCTGCGGGGGCTTCGGGGCTGCGGGGCTGCACGCCAGGAGCAAAGACAAGAGGCAAGCAGTGCTCGGCTCGGAGATGGGGAGCGGGCGAAGTTGACAAGCCCCCCACCCACGCCGCGCCTTTGCTGCCTGCCTGGAGGTGCGCTGCCCTTTCCAGGAGGTGTCCGCGCGCTGCCCGGCTCCAGGTGTGCCCGGGACACCCCGCCCCCCGGGACTGGAAAACTTCACCGCAAGTCCAGAGTGGGCTCCCAAGGCGGTGCCGGGATCTGGACTCCCGCAGTCCGAGCCGAGGGTGGGGGGTGGATGGGTGGGTATGGGAGCTGTCCTGGCCGTCAGAGGGTGGAGATCCCTCCGGAAACTTTATCTCCATTCCCGTCATGACTGTTTTCTGTCCCCGCAGGGGCTGCTGCAGCCAGCGGTGTGTCGCGCGTGCTTGTTGGCCAGCGGAGCCGTCCCGGGGAGAAGCCCCCGAGGACAGTTGTTTTCCCAGGAGAGACCTGCAGCCCAGCCGAGCGGCTTGGGCGGCCTGGATGCGCAGGACCCAGCCCCGCAGCCGCGGACGCCGGGCGGCGGCGAAGTTTGGCTGCTGAGCGGCTCGGCGCCGGGCCCCTGGACAGACGGCCGCCAGGCGGCCGCGGCGGCAGGAGCGATGCCCGTGGGGGGCCTGTTGCCGCTCTTCAGCAGCCCCGGGGGCGGCGGCCTGGGCGGGGGGCTTGGGGGCGGCGGCAGCAGGAAAGGGTCGGGCCCCGCTGCCTTCCGCCTGACGGAGAAGTTCGTGCTGCTGCTGGTGTTCAGCGCCTTCATCACGCTCTGCTTCGGGGCGATCTTCTTCCTGCCCGACTCCTCCAAGCTGCTCAGCGGGGTCCTGTTCCACTCCAGCCCGGCCTTGCAACCCGCCGGCGACCACAAGCCCGGGCCCGGGGCGCGTGCGGAGGACGCTGCGGACGGGCGGGGCCGGCATCGCGAGGAAGGCGCGCCTGGAGACCCGGCGGCTGCCCTGGAGGACAACTTGGCCAGGATCCGCGAGAACCATGAGCGGGCTCTTAGGGAAGCCAAAGAGACCCTGCAGAAGCTGCCTGAAGAGATCCAAAGGGACATTCTGTTGGAGAAGGAGAAGGTGGCCCAGGACCAACTGCGTGACAAGGACGCATTCAGGGGGTTGCCAGAGGTGAACTTCCTGCCCCCCATCGGGGTGGAGAATAGGGAGCCCGCCGACGCCGCCATCCGAGAGAAAAGGGCAAAGATCAAAGAGGTGAGTGCACCGCGCCACCCGGTTGGCTACGGTTTTCAGGGAGAGATGGCAAACCTTTGCAACTCTTAGGAGTGCACCCAGAGAGATAGAGGCTTTTCCCTCCTCACCAGATGTTGTGTCAAAGGCTCCTTTTCTCTTTTTCAGTATCATAATAGATGCGGCAATTAAGATCTGAGACCAAATCCTGATTTTTTAACTTGCATGCCATATGAAATGTGAGTACTTGGGCAGGTGACATACTAGCCCGGCGGTTACGTGGTTAATCGCCCCTGACAACAGTAACAGTGGAGGTACTGAACAACCCCCCTCTTAAGGCTTGGAGGTGGCTTTAAAGTGAAGCTTGACCTTAAAAGCACAGCATCAATCACACATGGTATAAAGGCTCTGAAATCCAGCCAGAGCGCCCAGCCCTCAGTCATGTGGCCCAGTTCTGCCAGGTGTGTGTGTGCTTTTACAAACTGTAAAGGTGAAACTTGAGAACTTCCTGTTAGAGGAGGGATACTATTGTTTACTGTGTTTAAGAAAATGAACATTAAAAAAACAAAAAAACCTACGTTTTTTATTTCTAGGGCATAGTGAGAAACAGGGTATTCTATGTGACGCAACAGGTTTCCTCCATAACAGCAGAAAACAAACTTAATCTAGGACAAACATGGACTTTGATAAGTCCTCTGTAATTTCTTTCTCGTAATGTTCAGTTAGAACTTGGAACATGTGATTAGTTCATGATAAGTTTACAAGCTGAAATACACCATGAAAATTCTTTTAGGTTGTCATTTCAAAGATGAAAGTCTAAGGGCCCTGAGTTCCAGAACCAGTTAGTGACCCAGTCAGGACTTGAATGAGAAAACCAGGATTTCCTCCCAGTCATCTGTCACCAGACTCTCTCTGGACATGCCTCCTTCCAGAACTGCTCCCCTGTGTGAAACTGTGCCAGCCTGGGTTTTACGTAGAATCAGGACCTGTAGGAACCATATTAAAAGCATATCATTCTACTCTCAATTCAGTTTCTAAACTCCATTATGAATAGAGAGAGTATTTTTACCATTTTAAACATGATGCATAGTCTCTTGAAAATTTTGTGCTTTGATATTGGGTCAGTAATTAGGAAAGGAAGCTTCCTGATACCATATTCAGACAGTAGACAGAATTTTGAAGTAGAAAAGAGGTATTTAGCTTAAGTTGCTGCAGAACGGAGGCAGATTGATGGTTTTAGTATTTGTAACTTTAATGTAAGACCAGATGGGTTTGGTTAAGCTGTAACTTAGCAAGTTCAAATGGATTTGGGTCCCTTTGGTTTACTCAAGGAAGAATGCCTTCAGCCTCCCAGACACATAATTTTCTTTAATAGTCCTTCAGCCTTTCTGCTTTAGACCTTTACATCCTCCCAGACTTGGGGAAATGGTTCTGTTCTCCTGAACTTCTCTCTAGCAGTTTCCCTTCTCCATGAAATCTTGTCAGTACTACCAAACCTGGAGGGTTGAATGAAGCTCTGCCTCTTCCCTAACATCCTCTCATCCTCATTTCCAACCGAAACCACAGGAAATTGACCACAAATGATCTGTGTCTGCTTGTGTTTCCTTTAAAACTGAAGAGTAATTCACGCATTGCATGCCTCTAGAGTCCTATGAGCTGCCAGTTAGTGCAGATCACGGTTGTCCGAGGAAGAGATTCCAAACACTAAAGATGCACAAATGTTAAAAAGCTCCTGGCACTGACCATTGATGATCAAAAGTGCATTTAGAGCAGAAGCAGTAGGATAGTAGCAGTCATTCAGGACAATGCATTAACAGTACACATGTCCAACCTTATTAGATCCACCCGATCTGTGTCTCTGATTCAAAAGGACTTCATTTGCCATGTAAAGGAAATTTATGTATCCTCTGGTATAAGTGTGGTGCCAATGTCTTAGCACCTAGATGTTTTGAAACTCTCTAGTCTTGCATGAAGTGGTGGAACTAAGTGTGTTCTTTAAAATTCCATGTTGTAAGAACTCAAGATCTAGCATCATTAGCTTCAGTATTCAGGCAAAGGCCAATGGGAAGAAATGGATTATGATTTCCCATTATATTAGTCCTTGGTAAACCAGAAAAAAAAAATGCTATTCTAAAGGATGTGATGTTTGGTCTTAGAGAAGAGTGGTGTTGTTGTGAATAAAGCATTGGACTATAACTTTACCCATGTCCATTCAATCTCAGGTACCTTGTGGGCTCGATGTCATGAACCAGTCGATCCTTGGTTTTGTTATTTCTTGTTCCTATACTTTCTAATTCTCTTTATAGTTGGGTTCTTTATCACACCTGGACGCTCTAACACTTTTATAGTTAAACTTTAGAAGGCCTAAATGGGTCTTACATGTTGGGATCTTGGACTGTAATTTGAGTCAAACTTCTATAAATTTTGTTCAGAGGCAGTTAATACTGTTTTTCATAATGCTGATATAATTGTGTTATTCCTACTGCAGTGAATTTTTTAAAATAAATTTGTGTCCTAAGGGGGATAGTCAGCTAATTAAAATAGGACATTGCCTAGAGCTCTTCACAAAAAGGTATTGTGATTTCCACTAACAATCTGCTGGATAGTAAATCTTTGATGTAAAATGTCCTTTATTACATTACATTTCTACCCATGTATATATTTAGTTTGGAATTCCCCTTAAATTTACAATGCATTCAGAAGGCATATTTATTTTTATGAATTTGATCTTAAAACATTACTCAAGTTGTCTTTAACTTTAAAAAATAGTGTTACGATAATGAAGCCTAGAAGTTAAAATAGCACCATGGAATTGTTAGAAAATTAGTCAGTTTCCTCTTTTACTCTATCCGTTTTGAAAAATTAGGAAGCATTTTTAGCTTTGGGTAGGGGCAGTATAGTAAGCCTACCGTGTCCTTTAGGATTAGTGTCCTAATCTAATCTGGAAGACAAACATTTATTTTTTCCATTTCCTGGAATTATGGGGGTCTTCTGAGTAATAGAGGCTGAAGACAAATTGATCCTTCTCAGACTGAAGTCCCCACTGACATAAGGGGAGATGGGTGTTGTGTTGTGCAGGCTGGTAGCATTAGGTTTGTCACAAAAGACCTTAGACAGATCAGCTGTAGAGTCACAGATGTCTTCTGAGTTTTTCAAAAGAAGGCTTTACTTTTTCATTCCACACTTCTATGTATAATCATAGATTTAAAGAAAGATTCCTATTGATGGCTAATGGTTAGAATATATTTCATCATGCTTTACTCTAGCCATAAGTAGATAGCCTTGAGAGTAGTATATTCTTTAACTATTAATTATTTACTCTTTGGGTAAAGACCAGATGTGGGAATATTCTACTTTGACAGACAAAAACAAACAAAACACTTTTATTTTGAAACTTGACTCTCCAGCTTACTTGTATGGGTAGTTCTGGTGTGGAAAAGAGCATTTCCAAAATAATAAAAGGCACAATTTGAAGTTCTGGCTCAAGGACCTAGGACTCCTTTAGGTTACTTGCCTGTTCTACAACCCATTCTGTGATATACCCCATACAGAGGGCCAGTGCAGATTGCCCCTCGAAGGCACCCTTCCTTAGAGCAAGGGGGCCTTGGAGTGTTTGTAAAGAAAGGGCTCTTGCTTCAACAAGTAAATGAGTAAGTTAAGATTTCAGCTGACTCATGAACATTAATATCCAAAGCAAGAAAAGGATTTAACAGGTAGTGAATTATGTTCAGTTTAATTTTCTGTAAGATAAGCATAATTTCTGAGAGGAATATGCTGTCTTCAGTTAAAAGTTGTGAAAAGAGGTTTAAAAAAGTGCATTTCGCAGTCAGCACAGCTACGTTTCTAAGGTGGGCTGATAAAGTAAACCATCTTAAGAAACTGACCCTAGTTTCTCACATGTGTAAAAAGTGCCTTATGTGAGATCTTTTTCATACTGAAGAAGATTATCTCATAAACTATGGTAGTACAGCTTCATTATTATGGGAGCCTTAAGCGTGTGTCTCAAGGTCACAGAGAGGAATATCTACAGATCTGCGGGAAGGATGAAGTCTTTAACATCTAGGAATCAGAAAAGCATGGGATATTGCTTACACCCCGAGCCAGTGCAGTGTCCATAGCCTTCAAATTTTTTTATACCCTACAAAATCACAGATGCGTACATATTTGTCAGAGATGGGTTTTGATTGGTCAGAATAGGAGCAGTCACTATGGTTTGCAGAGATACTGTGAAATGATTGGCAAAACAGCCTCAGTAGATAAGAATAATAAATAAGAAGCCTGTGTTCAATAGTTTATCGAAGATATTCTTTCTTTCCTGGAAGAAAGTCTTGGATTTCCCTCAGTGTGCTTAGCCTACAGCCTTGCTTAGTGTTCAGTAACTGAACTACATCTAATTTCCCACTCCCAATCCTCTCACTGTGTTAAAATGCACTTTACACAAACTCTGCAAATTATTTTTTTTCTGTTACCAGCAATATGCCATAAAAGTAATAACTTTAAGTCTCTGATTTTTGAAACTAAACATATGTTCTAAGTCATAAAATGTTATGGCTGGATGAGACCTCAGAGATAGCTAGCTCATTCAGTTTACAGTGGAGGCAACCAAGACACTAGGAATGCTTCTAGAAATCATAACACTGGTTAGTATCAGCACTGAGTTGAAAATAGATGCTCTGCTTCCCAACTAGTGTTGCTTGCTAGCCCCCACACAGCTTGCCTCCTAAATAAAACTCCAAAGACATATATTAATTGAAAATCTATATTCATTATTTATAGACCCTACTGTTGAATGGGTATAAAATACATATGAAATAATTCTGAGTATTATAAATTTTACTTCATATTGGTTTGTAAGTAAGCTATAGTAAATTTTTAAAATTTCATTACTGGAATGATTTAGAACACTTCCTGTTTTTAAAAATCACCCAGGGAAAGTTTGATATGACGTCTTTTTCTCTTTATAAAGATTTCTGCAGAAGTAGAGGCATTTGTTATCATTCAGTTGCACACTCTTTATGAAGAAA